TTGTTTCGTATGAGATTTTGTCAAGGTTTTGTCAGTTTTCCCTCTCACGTATTGGTAAATGTCTGTCTTCATAAAATCTCAAATTTGCTTGTGGCAGTTTGATCACATTATGCTACTGGTAACATTATGATTTGATTTTTGTGTGTCAAGCTTTTGTCTGCCCCAAAATGACAATGAAAGTCTAAGATGTGCCAGCAATAAAACAACAGCAACCTGTTGGCAATATGATGTTGTTAATGGATGTATTATATTATATATTTCCACAATTAACCCAGACCCAATACCATGCTTATTTTCTATGTATTCACATTGGCAAAATAACAGCACTTGCTCCTGTTTTGCCCATATTTTGTACAGGAATAAACCTTTACCAAATTCTAAATAATGCTCATGTATTGTTGACAGCAATATTAGCGTAAAATGTATAATTTTGATCACAATTTGATCTTGTTTTGATCAATGCAAAACAGTAATTTGTACCCAGTGTATGGCCGTTATCAGAGACACAATCGACCATGCTGCAACGCCGTGCCCGCATCTAATCTAATCTATCCGTGCCGCTCGGTTCAACTTCTCTCTTCTTCCTCGGCTTGCCGATGAGGGAGAACGATAGGATCGGCGGAAGTTTCTAGGTGCAAGCTTTCCTCGGCGTATCGTGTATCATGTCGTGCGCCGATGCGGAAGATGTATAAGCGAAAAAAAAAAATGGAGAACGGAGGGAAGAAGAGGTAACTTTGCTACTGTTCTATTACTTTCGACAACCCAACGATGCGATGTCTCGTTCGGTTTTGCCAGGTTTCATCGCTGGCGGTCCGAGTACGCCCCGGGCCGCCGGGATTGTCCTCGCTTAGCGCGGGGTCATCCGGGTGGCGATGATCTTGCAGACCCTGGTGAATCGGTGAGATCGCTACTTGAAATCTGGTGCCACACGGCCGGTGTCTCAAATTTCTTCCGCGCTAGCTCTCTCGGTTAAGCCGTGTTTCCCATTGGCTCGAGACACTCGCCGGTCAATTTTCTTCCCTGGGCTCGACGATTCTCACCTTTCTCTTGATACGCAGCCTAGTCGCACATTGGGATCAGGCAAGGATTCTCAAGCTTCGTGACGAGGGTCTCAGGACGGCGCGCGTTGTCGATGACTATTTCTCAGACTGCGAGTCTATGCCCGTCAGGTTGAAATTTTCTCAACGTTTCGCAGGACCGCCGCCGCACAACGATCCGTGCCTTCCCGCCTATCGCGCCAGGCCGCTGAATGTATGGTCTCATCGGGACATCGGCCCTGCTATTGAGAACGGGCAGCAATACACATGTTCCAACGGCAAAACAGACAAAACGTGGCCTCAACAACATCAAGACTGGGCCGTCGTATCAACGTTGGCACCACTCAAGAAGAAGCTGGTCGCAGATAGCGGGGTTTTATGTCTTTTTCTACTCGCGGTTTGAAAGGATACACCTCTGTGGAGCTTGTGCGCTGTCGTCGGTCTCTCGCGCCCCCTTTACGCATCCCATGTCAGCTTCTCAGACGCTGTTTCTCCCTGAAGGTGCGCTCACGGTGCGTCTATTGCATCATCGGTACTGGGCATCCATAAACATCTCACACCTGTTTCGAAGGCAACCATATCTTAGCTGTTGATAAGATGCTTCTCAGGAGTATCAGTGTGCACATACGCTGCAGAGGTTCTCAGCAACGGCGACCGTCTCAGACCTATCTCGAGGACAGGGCTCCTGAACATTATGCCTCCGGCGAGGGTGCACAAGGTCCGTCTACCACGTCTACCTCGTCGGGCCGTCGCTTCGCTCCTACGGCGGGCATCTTTGGGTTGCTTGCGAATCTCTTGAATAATCCCACTGACATCACTCAGGATCTTACCACGCACGCCGATATCTAATATCTGGGAATCTCGAGTACGATTGGCTTCGGCCGATTGATCTGGCGATTGCAAGGATCGTCGATGCGAGTGCATCAGTGTCTATTTTTTGCATCGCTGTTATCTTTGGACTTGTCCTGCTAATTATAAGCCGTCCGTGCAAGACCGACGCTCGTGACGACTGCGCGCGGGAGGACTCGGGTGGAAGACGGAAGGCGGGATGGCTTTGTCAACGACACCCTCGGTGTTGGTAAGCATAATTCGAAATGTTTCAGCGAGCTGCACAATAAGTCAGCTTGGGAGAAACGTTGGTGTGCTTTGTCAAACAGGTCGATGAGCATACATCAACGTCCTTGAACATTCCGAATAGTCGTTCTGATAACATACACTTGGATACCTGAACGGCGCCGTGCTGTACTGCCTCCGATCTCGCGAACTTCGTGTTGGTCGGGATATCGTTTTTGGACGTTTCGTTGTAGACGCTGCTCCAGCCCGCGAATCGCGGGATAGCCTAGGTATCGTACGACAGGGCGTACAACCGTATCTGCGCATGCGCACGACGCGGCGACCCGTAACGTGCTGAGCGCTGAGCCCTAAGATAGGTCCCTCCACGTCCATTCGTCAGTGACGCTATGCATGACGGCCGTCCGACGTCCATACCGCGGACCGTATCTCATATGACATCTCCCCGGACTGGAGCCCTCCACCCTCATCTGCAGTAAGCCAACGTTCTACTCAATCCCTCCTCAGCTGATCCTGCCCGTCCACGTCCAAAAGCCCATATCTGATAATCGCGTGGTTCAGGTTCGCATTACGGCAGGGACGCAGTCCGATAAGACGCGATAACCGCGTGTCCGCCCGCGTTCTGGCCCCTATGAGACTCTCGGGAGTTCTTGTTTACCTCGTGCACGTCATCCCAGGCAGGACCATTCAGTGCCAGTCCGTGTTTGTGGATCCAAAGATGAGCCAAATTAGCCGCACACCAGGTTGCACTCGATCCTTTGTGTGTTCGTGTCGCTCATTCGGTGCGGGGTGCCGCGGCATGCCACGCCAATGCGGCCGTTTTATTGAGGGTCGTCGTTGCGTTGTGAGGTCTAATGCCAGGGACGCTTGGGGTTGGGGATCGACGGGGAAACCCGATCGTTGATGGATGTTGTCAACGGAGATGAAGGCATGATACTTGCAGTGGAACGCATTGGAGGGGTCGTATTGGAGGAGAATTGCATTGTACTGGTGCGTGTGAGGACAATAACCAGATTTACTGATTCACCTGGGTTAGAAACCCCCGAGATTACATGTGGGTGTCTTGATTCCTGTTCGGTAGAACTCTGGGTCAGACACAGGAACCATGCCCAGTTCTTCTAGATCCGTCTTGTGGGCGTCTGTCTACAGCCTTTTGTTCTGGTCCTGTGGGACATGTCAAGCGCCAGCCCAAACGCTCACTGATCGTACCGATCTAGAAAACCCCGGACCTTGCCCTTCACTGAGGATGGATCTAGCCGATAGCATTCATCTCGCTAGCTCACGTGTTTCATTTCCCCTTCATCCTTCATCTCATGTCCTCTGGAGTGTGTCCTCTGGAGTGTGTCGATGCTTGATATAGCAGCACCCAGCATGATCCATGCTGCCCTTACCCATAGAACTTCAATGATCCGGTTGAGATATGACTCGACACTCCTCGATCGTGACTCGTTTTGTCTTCGGCTCATCGACTTCCCCGCAATCGACGTTGCTGCCCAATGGATGGGTCTGTGTCTTGGGTACGATCAAGACCGATGTATGCACATATGAAGGATAACATCCTCTTCTGGCAGATTCATATGTTTCCCATGCCCTCGGCCTCGCTGTACTGGTAGTGACGTCTCCTGCATAGGCTCGTGGAGACTGAGTCGTGTTTGCCTCGCGAGTTTCCCTACGACAGGGGCTATTTCCACGTTCGGCGTAGAGTCAGGCCACGTGCGCTTCACTGGCACGAAAATCAGCACTTTTGATGACAACGGACCGTCTCTTGACCTGTCTTCGCTCGTTCTCTTGCTCAGAGGGCCGTTTTTCGGACTTCTTTTTCTTTGAGTTTCTTGATTCCTGTAGGACTATAGGAAGAAGAACGTGCCTTACCAACGGGACCGCGCGCCTTCGTGATGTAATTCCAATATCTGCGGCGGCAGCATGGGTAGCCGTGCCTCAGACACTGCAGCGTGCCCACCCTCAAAGTGAGCTTTCATCAGAAATGTTGTCAGAAACAGAGCGCAATCGACTTTAGGGGATCGCGAATCACAGAGGGCGGGCGCGTGGAAAACACTCCCCGACGCGTGTTTGCTCGATTTGGTATCAGGGCGTGGCGGACTTCGGGTGCGCGCGCCGAAATGCGAAGCTTCTGACATGACGCGTGGTTGACTGTGGCTGAGAACAGTGCAGGGACGCTGAAATTCTCGAACTTTTTATTGCGCTGTCCACATCGGATGGGGTCAGAAGACAAGCTGGTCGCTGATGGAGCCGTCGAGGAGAAGCCAAGTATGCGAACTAGGTGCGTCGTGGATCAATGCAATCGTTCCCGCTTTTGATATTCGCGTACACTATAGTACGGCTTGTTCGGAATATTCGGATCGAAAATGAATGTCATACTCCGAACCCGCGCAAGTACGCAGTGTCCTGACATCACTCTACAGGTCAACACCGTGCGGCAGCGACGAATGCTGGGTACCATAGCCGTTATCACTCGCTTAACGTAGTGATATGACCCCCGAACGTTTCAATTCTCTCTTGACTGTTGGTGGTTCTGGCGCTTCATAGCTTCTCAAAAGGCCATGATGCGTAACTCTCCGCATGTGGTAGGATCTAACCGGCGGATTCGGATCGAAACAACTGTCTCTTCATGGTATACTGGAGCCAACAAATCTTTGCTACCCTTGCGATCTATTTGTGACGACACGGCTGTGCTACTGCGACGCCGAGATCTCTCATCGAGTAAAGACAGCCTCCGTCTCAGCGGTGCACGTCCTGACTCTGGGGCTATCATAACCTAGTTTGTTCTCGCATGCTGTGGCCCAGTACAGGCTCTCCAGGCGTGTCTCCTCAGGATCTACCAATTCCCCGCTGGCGTACGCCCTTAACTAATGATCGCAAACACAGGCCTCACCTCATTCAGGGGATCCGATTCCTAACCGCGGTATAGCTCTCAGAGTCTCCACCTGGTTTGCGTATGCTGCACGGTCCACGGCTCTTGGGTTTTGGTGGACCCCCATTCCCATCGGGGTTTGCTGGTAGACACACCGTTAGCTCAACATGCTGCTCGCGCTGGTCAGATGGCAATGCCTCGCGAATCAGGTGCTTTCTTTCTAGGAGATGAGGTGTTTTGAACAACCGCTGCTCATTCTCCGATTCTGTCGCACCGAGATGCAGCGCAGCTCCAACAAACGAGTACGTTCCTCTTTGCGCCGATGCACCTTTCCCTCGAGGACACCCCATAGTGTGTACAAAACATCATGTTTTACGAGATGTCGGTTATGCCCCTCTCAACATCGAGCAGTAACTGTCAATATGTACTGCAGTAGGCTGTGACCATCCGTTTGTACCGGTTTACGCAGAGCTGTTTACCCGTCTTCTTTGGACCCTGTACCTGCTTAGGCTCATGTTCTCTCTTCACAGACAGCGTAAGCCTGCAGGTATTACAAGCTAACGATTTATGGCTAAGTTTGTGTAAATAACAGGTGGATCAGGTGAAAGGCAGCAGGCTGGTGCAGGTGCAGGTGCGCTGCAGCGAGCCGCAGTTGACGTGCGGCTTCGTAATGGGCTTATGTCACACTATCTGTAGTTATCTGAGGTCTGAAGAGGCTCGGATATCTACTATGACGAGTAGTTTCACGTACTCAAGTAGGCTGTGGATGCTGTTATGCGAGCACATGTCGCTTCATATTCAACTTACACGGGTTTTCTGGGGTGTTATCTCCGAGTTGATAACGGCTTCGCTGATTGCCGCCGGCCCTCGCCTTCGGACTGCGTCAATTTCAGTTCGATATCTCATGAGTCTTTTTCACTTTGGCCGCCATGACATCGAATATCTCCAGTCATAACTGCAGCTCCTGGTCACATGCTCTTGAAGAGCTTATTGCACTCTCAGGACCAGTGTAGATTCAGTCACTCTGATTTTCTGAGGGTCAAAACAATCAGCTTGGTGTCACCCGTATGAAAGATCCGCCGCTCATTTTCAGCAGTGTCGTTCCCAAATACTATTGTCACAGTATCAACATTTGCACAGCTTTCTCCTCAATAATAACTTCGTGATACGTAAGTCTTTGCAAATAAAGTGGCAGAGAACACGATCGATCATGTCAAGATTACGGCTATCTATTGGCTCTCCTCGATGAAACACAGTCATGCTCTCGAATAGATTCCTGGTTATCCGCTGTGGGGAGTCGAGCCGTTCAGTGGCTGGACGAAGTAGATACGAGTTCGAAGGGGAATAGGAACAGAGAGTGCCGAAGAAGTAAAGAATACGAGTGGGAATTGAGACTCGGACTGAACTCGAGTTTGAGAGGGAAACTGGGGCTGAATTCAATGCAGACTAGCTACGACAGGATGCTGTATTTATACGTTTTCGAGACGAGGTATGAGTAAGAGAAATTACGAGTCAAAACGAACGCGTGTACATGAGGTTTGCAGTGAGTGTTAGCGATAAGGAGAGACCGTGAAAAGAAGACAAAAGCATCTAGGCACAGATCTAGCTGCGCGTACGGGTCGGAAGTCCAAGCGAGGTGTCGAGGCCGGAGGGACAATGAGAGACAAAGCGTATGACGCAGATGGTCGTCGATATCGATCAGGGTTGAGTCGAAGCGGGCGGGTCGAAGTGTGGCGAAAGGTGTCGAAGCGGTCGAGATGTGGCGC